GACTCGATTGAGAAAGTTGCGTATCTGCTTGTTGCCGACCGATATCCCATAAGTCGTCTTGAGCGCGTCAGCAATGGCAGACGGCTTCATATTTTGATGCCAATATAGGAACCACACGAGTTCCTGCTTCCTTTCATCAAGCAACATTCTTAGTACAATTTACTCATTTACATTCCTCTGCTGCTTCAATCGGTGCGACATATTCCGCCCTGGATTAGGCCCCATGCATAGTGTCTCTTTTTTTTGGGCACCCCTGTAGGGTTGAGTAACCTATGTAACTTTGGGGCCATGAAATTTCTTCTCTATCTGCGTCCCGTACTCGTCGTTTGTTCTGAAACACGATGGCAATCAGAAGAGTAGCTGACTCACATAATTTGTGGGGACAGTCGAGGTGCACGAGCAACTAAGCCATCTTTAAATAATTGATGGACTAGTATGTTGAGAATCCATCCTTGAAGGTGATTTGTGGATTGTAATATTACCGTAGTCGTAAAGGGTTAACCAGATATGGGAGAAACTTCGACCGCGCACAGGACTTGAATGCGTGATCGCATCCAAAATGACATTTAGCTTGATAAGAAATATTTGAAAATACAAAAATAATTTCCTTGAGACCTTCTAATTCAGAGTTTGACTCCAGCACTTAGTGTCCTTGTTCCTATTATGATCTTGTTTTCAACTCGCTATTTTCAAGTACCATTTGGAGCCAAATGTAAGTTTTCCGCTTGACTATTTTGTCCATATAATTTCATATATTATACACTTTAGATTATAATAATAATAGATTGTATTCAGTTTGGAATGCGGTGATCTCTCAGGCGGTTGCTCTGCACAGCCCTATCAACACAATCGCTATACTTGTTGCAACGAAATACTATAGAAACGCTGTGTTCAGTCTGTTCAAACGGATTCTAGAAAAATTTTACGGTAAGCCAAATGCCGGCGCCACTGTGTGCAGAGTACAAAGCACTACAGTTGTTCCGTTCAGGTCGAACTCATAATAAAGGCATTGTTTGAAGTAAATTACTGATGTTCAGTCAAAAGTATGTATGTGTATATATTCACTTGTATTAAGTTGATTTATAGTGCTTAAATCTTCTCACGAATTTTCCGAATTTTGGCACCACCTGAACTTAGCACATGAACAAGTCAGCTATGAAAGAACAGAGAAGTTTCGGTAGGACGTTCAGCTAACCCCTGGGTATTAGTGTCTTTGGCAGACTTTGTTATAGATAGGCTTGTCTTTGGAATAGTTTTTATTCGCCCAAAATACATTTATGATCAACTACGACCCTGAATGGGAGCCAAATATGAGGACGTAACTCCAAACGGAGTTGACCAATGTTCGTAAAGCTCGTAGGTTTCGATGTTAATTGCCATGAATGCGTAATGTCCCAAGAAGTTTTCGGCTGTCCCGATGAACAAAGGAATATGTCGTTAAATCGCTGAAATTGGCACATCGAATTACTTAAGTAAAGTATAATAATTCCGCACCCTCGGGTACACAGCGGTTTGGGGCTCATGACTACTCCTGCATGGGATCGTTTGAATTTTTGAAGACATGAGAAGTGAGGAAGGGGATGAGGGGTTTTGGACACGGCAGACATTGATCCATGGTCCTTCTTGATTGTCTATAGAGGGCGTAGCGTCTTTACAAGTTTCTTTCAGCTGATGTATTCATCTAGAAAAATAGGTTTCTCATGGATGACCCTTTTCCTCATTGTAAGAGGGCGACCTCCTAGATGGAAAGTAGGTGACTGAATGTTCCAAATAAAGGGAAAATAAAAATTTGGTAGAGTATGTGAAAGACACTTGAAACCAGTTGCGATCACTTCTCATCAAAGACGTGAATACGACAAGTGTTTGCTCATTTTCATTTCAAATACTTGTTGCCGAATGTACTCTCCACCTCCATTCTTCCACATTGCTCATAATGGAGATAGCAATAACTTGCAGAAAAATTGCACTAAAGCCATATTTATTTCGGTTAATGCTTTTTAGACTGAAAGTGGTCGTTAACAGAGCACGACGGATGGTGCTAACTATACTGGTGGTGCAGTAGACCCCTGAAATGTGACAATTATTGCTGCTCGGATCCTACATTTTTCAGTAAAGAACCTATTCTCAACGGTTAGTTGGATCCACCGCCTATACAGAGTCAAAAAAAAAACAGACGAAAGCTAATTTACGATATGTCATCTTACCTTACGAGCTGCCCACCAAGCTGCTACTCTGTCTTCATGCTCCTGCGTTTCCTTCTGGAAATAAACTTTTTTATACCTCATCGTCACTCTCCAGACAGGCTGACATGAGTTAAGATAAGCCTTCCGGATTGGGGGGAGTTTTCAATGATCGGCATCGATCAAATGAGGACTAACCGGATTCCCGAGTTCATCGTGGTCAATGGGAAGGTGAATAACTGGTGAAGCTGGTGCCAACCACAGGGCGATGTACGGCGGGGTGGTTGGTGGTTGGGAACCGAGTGTAGAGCTCCCATCTAAGCACTCTTTCCCTGTCATATTTCTTTCATCCATGCTACTGATCCTCTTCCTCACATTCACCTCTGCCTTCTGTTCTCTAGACTAGGAAAGACAGCGTAGAAGACATTTTTACAGTAAGAAGATTCAGGAATGAGCTGCTGCTTGATTATCGGTTGAACAGGATAGCAAACATACCTGAAGGCCGTATTTCTCTCCCCATGCCAAGACCTTCGCTCTTTTCTCGCTAGGTTGTAGAGTTTTATCCTTCACGATGCTCCAGAATTCTTCGCGGAGAGTTTCGTTGAGGTTCTTGAGGAACGCCGGTTTAGGCGGTCTTTCGCCACCATGTTCGTGGCTGTGGCTATGGTTGTGACGTCCTTCAGTGATGTATAGCAGGAAGCAAACAGCAAGAAGAACAGCCACTGCAGTGTTCATTCTGAAACAATAAAGAATCATGGTCGATAAGATGGAACCGCAGAGAGAGCTGAACGATGACCCAGTAGTAGGGTACTGAACGCGTATTCGGCTGGTACGCTAGCTTGCTGTAACCAACCGATGTCTACGTCAGTGCTCTTACGAGTGTGGTGCAGAAGGAACGAAATTGTCGCGTCGCGGCGAGAGAGNCGCCGCGCGCGGAGGATTGTAGCAGGATGCAGCAGCAGGTAAGAAGTACGAGAACAAAAGAACTAATAGTAAAATTATGCCTGAAACAATGATCGTATATCGATTGAGCTGTATGAGGAATGCTATAGCTGTAATAATGGCGAATGAGTGGTCCGCGACAGCCGCGTGCGGCGAACCGATTACCCAAAATCGTTCCTACTGCCCGTCTCCCCTCTTATCCTCCCACACGACTCCGTTAGCAGTTAACCGAACCCCACCAGGATGGAAGGCTTGGTTGCTTGAGCGGATAACAATCGATCGATTTCGATCCGCGTCTGATAGTGCGCCGATGTCCACTGCACCACCTCAACTCTTCTTAAAGTGATGAGTGAATCCTCAAAAGTATAAAGAAGGGCAGTTTGGAAAGATGCAAATGATTCTGCACAAATCAACCTCGACAGCCTTCCTTATATCCTCCATTTTTGATGTTGATCATTGATTATTCCACCGATGACTCAGAGCTTTATGAAAAAAATGCAAATAACCCCATAATGAGACAGCTACTCGCACGCCCTTTTTGGAGACTCGCAAAAATCATTATCTCTATGCACAGTTTCCCCCTATAATCTCCATTCAATTCTTGTGCTTTCGTTCTTATGCAAGTCACCATTATGTCCTGACAGGCTAGTATACTTCTCAATAACCCTAACCAACCCAGTCCTCACTGATCCGGATTATGGTGGAGAAAAAGCTTCGAGTAGATTATACACGTGGCCCATCATCCAGCCATTTTCTGTATAGACTTTATTTTGAAAAACAGATAATGATGCTACACCCGACAAGCCAGTTTACAGTACTTTTATACCTCTCTAACCTATAGATTTTATTTCTATATTGTATCCTGCATATTTATCCACTGAGAACCGTCTATCTTGCTACAAACCCCTCAGAACCACTGGAATTCAATAACCTGATCTCCAAACTTTTCAGTTCCATTTTAGGACTAAAAAAAGAAGTCCACACGGACACGGTATGACCCCTTGCCACTTGTGTACATAGGTGCCATCAACCTCGATCTAGCCCCGTCAGTTCATTAGTTCAAAAACTCTCATAAAAAATTTACCAAATCATTACAAAGCCTAGGAGAGGTATTAGACACTGGACCAGGAGGGGTCATCATCCCACCCCATCTCTGGGAACGAGGCATGATGCCAGATTCTACTCGATCTGAAATCAACAGATAGGCGTCGTGACTTCGATACCTGCAACCTCAGAAAAAAAAGAATTGTGGAATTTGAAAAATAAGCTTCTCGTTGATGCCGAGTTTACTATTTGTCACTGATTCGACTACTAAAGACGCAATCCGTTTGTATCCATTTCCTGACTACTGTAGAGGTGAAGTACGAGAAGAGTTGGAGCTGCGACCAGAAATGGAGGAAAGGCTGTGATCATTCCCAGTAGTTGGTTGATACCACACCACACACTTCATCGTGTTTCGGGACTTTGTCAAGAAAAATGTCTTCTACTGGTGACTCTGTCAGTATTGAGAGCGTTGCTCATTGTCAGGGAAAAGAGCAGAACGGGCCTGTCCTTGGAGCGGGAGTTCCACGACAAGCGACCGTGGTCTCACGGCGACTCCCGTAAATTCAAATCCATTCCTTCAAGGCGCACGATTACGCGCGATCTGATGCAGCGAGTGCGTCTCTCCCGTTCTGGCAGAAGAACAAGGCGCACGATTACGCGCGATCTGATGCAGCGGATTACGCGCGATCTGATGCAGCGAGCGCGTCTCGCCCGTTCTGGTAGAAGAACCCACACCCCTTTGGAATAGCATAGCTCCAATAGCTCCCTTCGGCAACTCGCCTACATGACGTCAGCTGTTGAAGGATAATGGGAAATTCTGATGCTGGAATTGAGAGGGGATGAGGAAGTACTTTGCTCACTCATAAATGGATATTGTGTTGCCTTAAAAGAAAAAGCCGGTGAAAATGTAGTTAGGGGGTGCCAGAGCCCTTTTGTGCTCTGCGTCCCTAACACTAGTCGGCATAATGCTGCGCTCGAGTGCAGAGATGATTTCTTCCCCATTTCGAAATCAGGGAAGGAGTTCTGGGGGGAGTGACGATTATATCGTGCAAAAAGCTGGGATGGGGTAAGAATCGAGCATCCAATCGGTTGACCCACCCCGGAGCTCCTTCCCTAACTTTAAGAAGGGGAAGAGCTCCAGGATGGGTGAGATGATTAGATTGGGTANATGGGGTAAGAATTGAAGAGACGCAGAGCACAATAGGGCCTGCCCCCCCCTCCCCCCTGCAGCTACATTTTCACCGAAAAGGCCTGTCCTTCATTCCTTCTGAAAAAAATTGACTGATTGGATCCATGTAAGAGGGTAATGAAACCATTCTAACGCCATGTCGTCCAATGAGTAACCTCGGATTTATGGTTTTCCAAGATGTACATCCTCTCATAGTTGCCGACTCTGCATATTATTATAATTACTACCAGCCTGCTCCAAAAATATATCAATAAAATAATATATAATATATAAAATAATGTATCCTCACAATGAAATCTTGTTGACTGAATTCACTTTCCGACTACTGTTATCCTGTATGAAAACCGAATGCATAGACGAATAACAACGGGCTTGCTTCACGACAGAGAAATTGTACTTTTTGCCTTCAAAAAATCCTTTCTTTCGAAAGGTCCCTTATGAATAGTTCATAAACATCAAGCGAAACTCACTCAAACAGGAATGCGGAAGTTTTTTTTTGATAAATGAAAGCAAATTCCATTCTTTCCCAGATGGATGATGAAGGTAATATGCGGATAGTTGGTTCCACTTGTCAAGGTTTAAAGTTGATCGCCTCATTTCCATATTTTGTCCTCATTCCGAAACAAACTGCCCGGTCTAGTAAAACACGGGAGCGACACTTCCAGCCTCCCCTTTATGGAATGAATGTAAACTACTTATACTTGGAGCTAAAAGTGCTCTTTCCGATTACTTGGGCGCTATACATGGTTGCCTTCCATAGCTTATTGTGTGTGGAATGAGAAACATCCGATTCTAGTCGATGAACGCCTTCGACGGGTCGCGCGCGGCGGAAGGTAGCTCTCGAGGTGACGGTATGACGCGTCGCGGGCTACTTGGGCTACAAAGGACGATAGAATAAAGCGCATTCTTGCAGAATACAACTTCATTGGGCATTTACATCTCGTAGACTTCATTTGGCAACAATTTGGACCTCCCACGAGGTCTTTTCCACTGTGTGTAGGGTATTTCCTGCTTGAAAGCAAGTGTCTTAAAGTTTTGGTGTTATTTTTTGAAGCATCGCGAAAGGTTGCAGCTTCCAAACACAGGGAAAAGTACAATATGTGTCTGTTCGATTCTTATTTAAACGGCTCCAGAAAAAGTTTGAGAAGTGGAGCTTCGAGCTTGTGTTCATTTCTTATAGGAAAAATAGGGGTGTCTTGTAAAAATGATGCTAGCATGATATTTATTTCAGTTAAAGCTTTCACGATGGATAATGATCGTTGCTATAGTTCGTAGATGCTATGGATGGCAGCAACTAAACTGATGCTGCAGTAGTTCCCTAAAGCAAAACGATTACTGCTGAAAGTACAGGGGAGGGCAGAAAAGACACGGAAGCGAATTTACAACAAAATATCTTACCCTACGAGCTGCCCACCACGCTGCTATTCTGTCTTCGTGTTCCTGCGTTTCTTTCTGAAATTGACTTTTCATCTTCAACTTTATATAGCTGAGGATACTTCTTCTATCAGAGCTGGATGAATCCCAAATTAATCAGAAAGGACCAACCATCGGCAACTTTTTATGTGAAGGGGAAAGTAAACACTTAGTTTCGTTTCACAAGTGCATACCGTTCTGCTGTCACCATACAGTATCGTCAATCCAGTGGGGTCCTTAACCGATGTCCAAGGTATGAACCCAATCTAAGCCCAAGTTGGATTGCAGAGTTGTAGAGCACGAGAATATGAAACGAGGCAATCAGATCAAATTCCCCTCCTGGAACCTGGCAACCCCGCGAGTAACCCTTTCCTCTACGCTGTACCCTCTCATGCCACTCTTTCTTGTCTCAGTATTCCTGATTCCCATTGAAGACCAACCCTCCTTCTTGGCACATTTCTGGCTATACGATTAAATGCTACCCAGCAGATAATCTTTGTACTGAAGCCCTGTTTCAATATTGATCTGAAATGTCTCAGCGAACAAACCTCAAGACCGTACTTCTCTCCCCAGGCCAGAACCTTTTCTCTCTTCTCGTTAGGTGGTATTGATCTGTCCTTCACAATGTTCCAAAATTCTTCACGAAGTGTGTCGTTGAGTTTGTCGAGGAACTCTGGTTTGGGCGGTCTTTCACCACCATGTTCATGGCTATGACTTTGGCTATGACTGTGGCCGCCGTATCCTTGAGTTATACATAGAATAAAGCAAACAGCGAAAAGAGCGGCCACTGTGGTGTTCATTCTGAAATAATAAGAAAATAATTTATGGCTGGAACTCTGCCATCTTTGAATTTCCAAACAATGCTGTAATCTTGTAACAAAACTTAAAGATGATAAAGTATAACGTTTTTGGCGTTAATCATTTCCGCTTGGGATGCACCATCGTATTCGACTTCCATTCAGGAGTAATGACGTATTGATAACGTATTTAGCCAGTACAAAGACTTGAGTTGGCCAACCGATGTGAAAGTCGGTACTTTCGTCCACCCAGACGAGTCTTGTAACAGTAAACCGACTGCGGAGTAATGAGAAACTTGGTGAATATCTATGTGTTGGTGACGGTATCTCTACCCACATTCCCGATGGTTGCGCTGCAATTATCGCAAACATATTGAACTTTCAAATCTCCCCCTTGACAGCACGCGCCTTGCGCGATCGGGTGAGGTAAGCGGGGACGCTTTCGGGGAAGAAGAACACATATCCAGGCTCCAGACCCAACGTCTGTTGCACTACAACACCACCGCACGAGTTTTTCTATTTATAGTATCAGAGCATCAAATCTTGTAGGCCAAACGAATGTATCCATAGGTAGGCGACCGAGAAATGATGAGGAAAGACCTTGAAGAAATCCCGGAAATGAATGCGACCTAGAAGAATTGGTTGCTTGAGACAAAGTAAGAGAAAAGAGAGAATTGTTGGGAAACGGTATGTGATTGGAAGTGGTGGATAGGCATTTGGAACCCTGAGAGGAGCATATCTGTAGCTTTGCACGAATCTGCTCCAACAGGTCCCCTTATATTCTGCAATTCTGATGCTGGTCATTGGTTGTTCCACCTCAATGACTCATGAGTTGGCAGCAAAAAAAAGTGTAAATATTCCAGCATGAGGGCAAATAATCTGTCCGCCGTTCCATCCAACTTCCCAAATAGGCCAACCCTTGTATATATTAGGTTGTTCGGAAAGGAATGCGCGTTTGAGCTCAAAAAATTTTTTATTATAAAAACGAAACTAAACAAGATCAATTCGAAAGGTATTCTCCATTACTATCGAGGACTTGTTGCCTACGTTTACGCAAAGAATGAATTCTTCTTCTGAAGAATCGGCCGGCTGCGACTCAAAGTAGTTGGACACCCTGAGTTGGAATTTTTCGCGATTTTTGAATTTTCTCTCGGCCAAGGAGTGCTGCACTGACCGGAACAAATGGTAATCGGATGGTGCGAGAACTGGGCCGTATGGCGGATGAGGCAGTACTTCCCAGCCCAACCCCTCAATTTTTTTCCAAGGTGGTTTTCGCAACATGTGGACGAGCGTTGTCGAGGAGGAATTTTGTCGCCGTTGTTTCGACACCTTGACCATGCAGCGCTTGATCCAGCGGTTCGATTAATCTTCGTAAGTATCCGCCGTAACCGTTTGACCCGAATTCAGGACTTCAAACGACACTCAACCTTTGCTGTTTCACCAAACCCAGAACATCACCTTTCTGCCGTGTATATCCAGCTTCGGAGTGGGTTTTGGAGTATCACCGGCGTCTAACCACTGTCTCTTTTGAGTTGTGTTGTCGAAGCAGATCCATTCTCTATCTGATGTAATAATAGGGTTGAAAAAACCACTTTCTTGGAGCGATGAAAAAGAATTTCGGCCATCGCCACTCGTGTTGCCTGGTTTGCGTTGCTCAGCTGGTGCGGTACCCATTTTCCGCACCTGTTCGTCTTGCCAATTGCCAGCAAATGCTCATGGATGGTAGAGTTTGAGCAGCCAACATGTGTTGCCAGTTCTCGGGTGGTCTGGTGTGGATCCGATTTAGTGACGGCCTTCAACACTTGGTTATCCACGAATTGAGGCCGACTTCCATGTTCATCGTCCTCCAAGCTTTCATCACCGTTTTTGAAAGGCTGATACCAGCGTAGACACTGCCTTTCTGACAGGGCTTCTTTGCCGTGTACTTCAGATATGGCACGATGAGATTCAGCAGCCGATTTTCTTGCTTGAAATTGTACCACATGCAAGCCCGCAGAAGGAATTTTCGGTCAAGCACCTTTCAAACTTTTTTTTCGTAGAAGAAACAAAGTAGACGTAGCCGAAAATATATCAAGAAATGCGCAATGAAGATCTCTTCCTAATAGACAAAACTGTTTTGAAAAATATCCTATAGTAGTGGAGAAATGAATGGACAAATTCAACGCGCATTCCTTTCCGAACAACCTAATACACACGCTTGCTAATTCCCTACTTAAAACTGTTTAAATTTATTCTTTACAGTTACGTTTACAGACAGTTCATCATCAGTTTCATGTCAGACTAGCATTCGAAAGTGTTCGTCAGCCCCGTTCATCCGGATTATAGCAATGAAAAAGCTTCAAATGGATCTGTGAATCACCAACCTGTCACCTTTCCCATCAGAATGTTGGGCCGAAGATCAAATTAAATGTTCCAGGAATCCAGTGACTGCGGCACTTGCCAGATGCACCATTCGATTTAAAGAATTTTTTCTCGTATATCGTTTTATTATATTCTGAGGAATTCTATCTTTGATACACAGCTCAAAAAAACGTCAAGACTTCACAACTCCACCTGCTCGGAACCCTTTACAGTCCCCAAAAATGGCATATGTGTATAGGTATGTACAGTATGAGCTCCAATCGCATGTGCACCTCTATCATCTCCAATGATTGGTCCCTCTAGGTCTCCAGTTTCAGAGATTTTTGTAAATTTTTAACAAACTGTTAGAAAAAAAAGCACCCGATACAGCATCAGAGTGTAGCCGATCTCACCTTCGATCAAAGTAAACGCCATCGCGAAGCCAATAGCTCCAGCCTCAGAGAAAGAATATGAGTGGAGGGAGGCTGAGGAAAAAGTGTCATCTGATAATGTAATGGCATTTTGTCACCATTTCCTTCTAAGAGGGCAAGTCGGTCCACATGAAATTTTGTTGGCTTTTATGTGCTAGCTTACAGTCAAGATACAAAATAACTAACAGCTGCGGCTAAAAATGGTAAATGGCAGCGGTTAATGACATCCAAGTCCATTACTAAGGTATCACTGTTTACCTATCCATCCCAAATAGACGCCAAGCTTCAGAGTCACACTGTCTTTCAGAGCTATTTTTGTGTTTGGTGGCATTTCCAGTGCAGGATTTCCTTATAGTTCTTATCATTTTGAAAAGCTCTATACAGCAGTATGGATTTTGTGTAACTAACATGGGAAAAGTAATGGTCGTGATCTTCACTCCATTGATCATGCAACGCTCCAACAGCCCATCATGATCCCCTTGTCGAGTCGATGCCAAGAAAAAAGAATCGTCTGCTCGAAATCGAGGGACTGACAAAAAAATCAAAATGCATGCAATTCGTCTTGGAAAACAAAAACAATGATTATTCCAGTTGGTCACCATAAGTCATTACATAGGATACATACCATTTAGAAGTCACTTCGATTCTGGATGGAAGTCGAGTGCAATGGCGCACTCCTGAAAGGGGATTTATGCCAGAAGACTTTTTTCAGTGTATAGATTCCTCATCAGTTTTTTTTCTCGCGATTCTCTTAAAAAGGGTTTTCAGTGTTTTGAAACCCTCTTACTTGACAATGATGCTGCTTTTGGAGCTCCGTCGTTTCCTTTCAAACACATGATCAGCCAGAGCCATCAACCAGATGCAACCCACCACTTACTACGAATACATCCCTACAGAGCTGCTGACTACGTCTTCTTGAATACTATAGAGCTGCATATGCTCCAGAATTGCGCTACTTTTCAGGAATTTTTTGCGAAGATGGCATTTTTCAGGAAAGTACATTGATATTGCCAATCACTTTGAAAAGCTCTACACACTTGTATGGATTTTGTGTACCTAGCATTGGAAAAGTAATGTTCGTGATCTTCACTCCCTTGATCATGCGAGGCTTCATAAGACCATCATGACCTCCTCTTCGAGTCGATGCCCAAAAAAAAGAATCGCCTTCACAAAATCGAGGGACTGACAAAAAAATCAGAGTGCATGTGTTTTGAAGAGAGCGCAGAGCATGGTTACGAACGCCGCCAAAACGAGGGACCGACATCATCGACGGGGTAGGTCAACACGGGTTGCCTCTCACGGAAGGAGAAAAGTGAAGATCACAAAAAAGTTAATTTTGAAATTTTTGCACCACTTTATACTTATTTCTATGAAGGTCTACGTGCTCATTACATATATGTACTTTTCTGCTGAAACCATCGACTTTTACAAAAGTGATTGACTGTAACCCCACTTGATATAACAAAAGCCTCTAAATACTTATAACCTGCNATCGACGGGGTAGGTCAACACGGGTTGCCTCTCACGGAAGGAGAAAAGTGAAGATCACAAAAAAGTTAATTCTGAAATTTTTGCACCACTTTATTCTTTTTTCTATGAAGGTTTACATGCTTATTTATTATAAATATGTACTTTTCTGCTGAAACCATCGACTTTTACAAAAGTGATTGACTGTAACCCCACTTGATATAACAAAAGCCTCTAAATACTTATAACCTGCAGTTTCTAACAAAGTTTATGTCGCGAGCATATCACAGAACAAGAATTACTGACTCTGGCTCCACATTCACTAACTCGAAGATTGTAAGATAGAGCAGTCTGAGCTTATTCATTCAATGGTGAGCTTCGCCCTTATGATCACTTCCTTTTCTTACCTAAAAATAAAAATTCTGACCAAAATCTGCTCAGTCGAGCTCTTCATCCTTTCGGTTTACTTATTCGAATGGAAAAGATGGTCTGGTAGCGAGCTGCGCACTGTCACACAAGCATGGTGTGAGGATCGAGACCCAAATCTAAATCCGCCCAAGCCTTCCATTCCACCTGGGTCAGTTATCGACACAGTTTCGAATAGGAAGATGCAAGCGAGTACATGGATGAGCTACAGCGAGTTATAGGCCTCATACGCATTCGATCCACCACCACGATTCCTAATGGAAACCAATGCGGAGGCGCATCCCATTACGGAGCAGATTAGTGGCGAAGACTTCAAAACTTATCCTCCTTCATCGCTTTCAACAACTTGCCTTCATTTTTGTTCTTCTTCCCTTTCCTCATTCTTATGGCCAAAACTTCACACTTCGCACTTAGTCTTTGCGATCTTATTGCTCCTCCCCGACCACCTCTACTTCACAGAATAGGAAATCGGACATTTGTAAATGGGCGCTAAGATCATTAACATCGCCTTTTCCAAGTCAATTACACAAAATCTACTATACGAAGCATTCCAAGACGGTTATGATTAGGGCGGCATAGCGACCTCAAGAGATAGTTCCACGAGAGGGAAGTCTCTACCTCCGTATCTGTTCATTTCTCAAATTGAAAGATGACATGTCTCGTGAAGAAGAAGAGCTACAATCATATTTATTGCATGTTGAAAGAAAAATTGCTTTTTACCAAAGTCAGCTACATAGTGAAGGATGGACTGGCTTTGCAACAGGCGCAACAGTTATTCTTTCTGTAAACAAAAGATCACTGCTTCGAAAACAGCCCTTCAAAGTCTCATGTTTATGTTGTTTTATCAAATTCTACATCCTTGCAAAGTCTGTTGAAGCAACAGAGTTTGCAATGATGTAGAAATTGATAAAACAAAATCTATAACAAATATCTCACCTTGTGACTTTCCCACCATTCTCTCATTTTCTCTTCGTGCTCCTTTGCTTCCTTCTGAAAACTTTTATACTATACGATGACTAACCATATAAACTGCCTATGTGGCTCAAGACGTCCGTCTTATTCAGCGGTTGAGTTGTTAGCATGAGTAGCCAGGAGCAGTCACCACTGGCCCGGGAATCTTACAATGGGAAAAGGAAAGACGGTGGAAGGCGCAATTCATCCCAATATACTCCCTCTACCTCTACTCTGGCACTCTACTGTAAAGATATAATACAATAACTCCAAGTTGCTAGGACGCTGTACCGGTGTTTGTATCTTTTCCACTTTACGAGGGAAAGGTCTAGGTCTGCTCGATGCCCACTGAAAATGAAAAGTTTTGGCAATGGTGCACTCTACAAATGGTTGTGTTAAGCAATACAGAGCTCATCAGTCTCTGAAAGACAGTAGTGCCGCAGCTGCCAAGGCAAGGTACATAGGAAGAGGAGAGGGCTTCTCCCTAGCACTGGTATGCCATGGCGTTCCCGGACGCCATAGTTAATTAACAATATTCCAGTATAGAACTCAGGTAGGCACTCATTCCCCACATCGAAACCTTTTAACTCATGGATCCTTCCTACTACGTTTCCCATCCCCATACCACCTCCTATACATCCCCTTTTATCTGACCTTGTCCGTGCTGTCTAAAGTGCTATAGAGGCCGCAGAATATACTTTTTTCGAAAAGAAACGTCAGGAACGACGCTCTGTCTCAGTTTAGATTCGAACTAGTCAACTGACCTGAAGACCGTATTTCTCTCCCCAGGCCAAAAACTTTTCTCTCTTCTGGTTGTGGTCGAGACCTTTGTCTTTGACTATGTTCCAGAACTCTTCCTTAGCAGTCTGGTTAAGGTTGTTGAGGAACTCTGGTGGAGGTGGTCTTTCGCCATCATGTTCATGGCTGCATTGCCCTTCAGTTATGAATAAAACGAAGGCAACGGCCAAAAGAGCGACAACAGCTGTCTTCATTCTGAAATAAAATACAAATTAACTCACGGCTACAAATATTACATATAACACTTTTGAATCGTTAAAGGTAATTCATTTGTGGAGATAACCAGTAAAATGAAGGTTCCGTTAACACCCATTTGTATCACATTGCTTGTGTAGAACTGCCTTTTAACACTTTCAGAGACTGTGATGACAAACAAATCCACTGTTTCTATTTCTTCTGGAGCAGGGAAAGGCTCGGAGGCTACGGTATTCGATTCTATGTTGTATGTTGAGGAAGCCTTATATCCAAGGTGTTGCCACGCTGAACCACACCTGAACATCCTCAGTAGTCACAAATACTGTAATTCTAAGGTGTGGGCTCGCCACCTTTACTGGTGTATTAACACCGTTATCGCTTCTCAAGTTAAAGGGGATCCGGCAGACTCCTTCCGTACTATTTTGAAATCGCCCACTTTGCCGTAAGCTACAGGCTTTCTCTCCCTCCCATGACTGAGCACGAAACGTAGCTACTCTTCTATTCCGATAGTAAATTCATATGAAGTGAGGGGATAGAAGATTCAGGCTGAAGCAATCAATCCTGTTTCTGTAAGCGCCTCTGCGTCCAACCTTCATACAGAACCGTACTGGAGTTAGAATGGGTACATATGGTATATCNACGAAACGTAGCTACTCTTCTATTCCGATAGTAAATTCATATGAAGTGAGGGGATAGAAGATTCAGGCTGAAGCAATCAATCCTGTTCCTGAAAGCGCCACTGCGTCCAACCCTTCAAACAGAACCGTACTGGAGTTAGAATGGGTACATATGGTATATCCATTGAATCGCGGTGGTGTTACGATATACGAGTCAGTGCGCTAACTTTCCCAGACGAGTCAGCATTAATTTATCTAACTCCGAAGGAAAGAAGGTTCGACCCCGAAAAGTTGAGGCTTGAATAGTTTGGGGAAGATCGATCCTTGTTCCAAAACTCAGACCTTGCTTCTGGGTTATACACCGCTCGACTCGTCACTACAACACCTCCGTTATTGATGTGAGCGAATATGAGAGAAGAGAATATGCTAATATTGAGAAGTAAGCAAAGAGAGATCTTCAATTGGGAACTGATAATATCGAGGCAGGGATACAAAGAGTTCTGTGTGAGTTTTGTTCTTCAGAAAGCGCAGTGAACGAAAGCTATCAGGAATACTTGTGCACATATCCTCTTCATCAGCATCCTTTATATCCTCCAATTTTGGTGCTGGTCATTGATTATTTCGTTCTATGACTCATGGACTTGTAAAAAAATCTTAATAATGCAGTAGCAAATCATCGGTTTACCCTCGCTCTAGTAAGAAAAAAAATAACACCTCATATACTGTCGTCTATTCCCTATTATTGCAAGCTTCACCAACTTGTTCTCTTTCTTTCCCAGACAGGTCACCACTAGTTGCACAACAGAATACCTTCATACTGAGCTCGTCAGCCTCGCTGATCCGGATTATGACAACGAACGTGGTTGGATGGGTCATTATTTATGACTCATAATCCATTCATTGTTCCACTTAAAGTTCGTTTTGAAAAATAATTGGTGCTGCAAAACCAGGACTGGCCTACAGTACTCCCTTAATAAACCTGTCCGTTTATAGATTTCAATTCATTTGATCACATATCCATTCACTGAAGAGCATTAACCTCTCGAATACCCTTGGAAAAACTTCAAGGTTTGCATATCCGGTTCAATTACCCCTCCGGCCCCACCAACCCGTAATTCCAGAGACTTTATCAAACATTCATTGTTATATAAACCCTATAAGACCCGAAATAGTCTTTTTTGAGCAACAACCAAGGATTCTTTCACCTTTGATTTATGACTCTGACCTCAATTTCAGTTTCAGTTAGAAAATCATGACAACGGCAACAAGAGAGTACTTATCACTAGCATAAGGCATAGTGTTTGTGGGGATGAGAAATACAGGCTTCTCGTTCCCTGTGCTTGCTATACAGGTGTGGAATACGCCAATTTATTGATAAAAATGGCAGAATGAGTTCGGGCGGATGTGGCGGAGTGGCTAATGTCGCGTCTACATATGATCGGAGGATTGGATTCAGGATCGATGCTCCCGGCCAGGAAATCCATCCGTTGGAGACCTATCAGACTCCCCTGAATAGGCTCTCGACTCGTCTGGCACGATGAGAAGACTTATTTGTAAGGGGTTGGCCACAGCTAGTCAGCATAGGCCAACATATGCTCAAAATGCCATTACGTTTCTGACTAGAATGCAAACAACACGGAGGAGCATCCCAAAAGAGAAAATGACAGTCGCCAATGACTTCCATTTCACCTTTGAATGGAGTATGAATTGAATGGAAAGCCCAGATCGTCTATACGTGTTTCCATGATAGTTCGATTCAACGAGCGTGAGTGGAGAAGCAGTCCCATCTTGCACTGGGAAACCTCCATATGTGGAATCATTAGAAACTGCTGCTTGAAATCCTGATGGTTTTCAGCTAACACATTCCTGCTGCATTGTAATGAAAGATAAAAAGGAATATTTCATCTCAAATTTGAAGAAATACCTGTGCCTCATACGTGTGGTTTGATCACTTTATCGGAACTATACGTATCCTAGTGAAGAGCTCGGGCAGTGGAAGTGAGACGTCGGTTAAGTTTCCCTTTGCCCACGATTTTGACTTCGGTTCATAGTTTCGTTAGTTTCTTGAAGGTGTCTAGCTTACATAGTAAGAAGGCGCTGTACCAGTTATTATTTTCCCACTTGGAGCAGTCTGTAGCTGCCGCATCATTTAGCATGTCCACTCACATTTACCCCTAATACAGGGATTCTTCACTTCTTTACTCGAAGCTTGTTCAGTACTTGTAAGCAGAACCTTCCGAAAGGAGGTTTTGTTTGATAGATCGTAAGATTGCAATTTTCGTGAATGTAGACTTTATTAGGGATAAATACCACTGAAAGCAAGCAAATTGTTTAGTCATTTCAATATTTCTTCGCCAACTCCATGAGCTGCTCCTTCTTTTGCTCACGTGAGAGAGTCGGATTCAAGACGGTTACCAAGATTTCCCAGCCAACTGTGTCGTTGCTTGGAAGTGGCGGTGGAAGAGGAGGCATCATACCCTGTCCAAAAGGAGGCGGTGGCGGCATACCGGTAGGAACCTCTGCGAGAACGGACGATAACACTGCACAAGCGGTGAAAATGACGGCAAGTGCGATCTTCATTCTGAAATGGTACCGTAGATTTTTTTAAATGCAATTTTTAAAAAGGCAGCAATTTTCGCAGGAAGTCCGTTATAACGTCTCGATGGCAATTATCCTGACGGACAAAAAAGAAGAGCACTTCGGTCGATAGTGTAATGGAGTGTGGGCTCACGTATGGTCATAACCAAAAAAGGTAATTTAGGGCAAATGTCGACGTGCTCGCCGTTTCCCTTATTGGATAGTACTCGGAGCAAATACCGTTTGGGAACGAAATATCCTATCCATCGATGAGCTGTAGCGGTGGGTTCACCCGAACTGTGAGGCTTTCAAAGGGAATTTCGGCATTTGGCTTTTGATTTATCGTTTTTCTGTGTTATTCTGAGAATGTTCAAAATTGGCCTCATGTAGGCGACTCTATGTACAGTAGCGCTCAAAAGTGTTCGGTGAAATGCTTTGACGCTTTTTCGTTCATAACTTTTTTGTTAGTAGACCAAATCGCACAAAATTTGGATATGTTNAGATAGAGCAAGGTGTTTGTTGCGGTAGCAGATTTTGCTAAAACTAAAGTTTTTGAGTCTGCACTTATTCGCATCGTACATGCGTTTTTTCATCTATTGTGTTCGGCATTACCGCTCGTACACTTTAGACATGACAGAAAGGAAAGAGACTTTAGAAGGACAATCATCTGTATTTCCGGTTGATTTTGAGTTCCAGCTCTTCAGTATATCCGGAACATGATCAGATTGCACACCCATGCTACACATATTGAAATTTCGCATGATTCGATCCACTAGGAAAGGAGTTACGACTAAAAAGTACGCCTAAAGAACCATTTCACCGAAGACTTTTGAGCGCTACTGTATATAAAACGAACACTCATGAGAAAATTTCTACAATTCCACTTCAGTATCTTTCTAAGTATGGGAGACTCTCAGTAAGTAAGCGGACATAGTTCTCCGTTGAGATGGAATTAAAAAATAGATTGGTAAGATGGAGGATCACCTAAGGTGCCATGGAATGTCTTTGTGCTTGAGATGGCTACTGGGAAAGAGTGCGATGGAAAGGGTTTATATTGTGCTTTCATGAGGGAAGGTGAATATCAGAGCTACAAAAATGGCAAGCTTGAGCACCTCACCCCCTAGCACATGGATGAAGCTCAATTCGCTGGAGAGAAGATTTGCAAGAGGTCCTACTAGTACCGCCTTATATTTGTTTCACTGTAGCAGATCTTTGGTTGATGGATCACAAGTTCGACTACAAAGTTCGTCTCATATAAGGCTTCTAATGAAGGTTACAGTCGGATTATACTTCTGTAATCGCTCGTAGAAAAAGCATGATCGTTTGTTAACAATTTGTATCCGGTTCAACCCAATGGTTCTGGTTTTCTAATTAGCAGCCGCACTAGTTTGGGGCAGTTTCGATCTTTTGGAACAGATTTCATTGCAATACTTATTAGCCCCCATAGTTCTCCTCGATCGGAAGATTGTAGATCGAGTATTACTTCATTGACAAACCATTATTTACCTTGAATGCAAGGGCAAATGTCACGAGCGAGTGACTAGTTGTTATGATACATTCCATACCTTATCGCATACAAAATGCGACGTAATGACGCACTCCTATCTTTGAAATTTCAGTCATGCAAGCCTTTCAACCTCCGACCAATATTATGATCTGAGGAACAAAACTGGACCGTTGTGGCACTTTCGGAACACATTACAATACACTTTAAAACTCTTTTCATTTAAGTAACAGTAACAAACGTCTCTAAGCACGATTAACATCTTCGCTGCTGTCCCACGGATCGCCGTCGCCTTTAATCCTTCCTTAACAAATAGAGTTCTTCCTTGAAAAACAGTATTTTTTGATACTTCGTGTTAAGATAAACTTTTTGTAATTTCAATAGGTGCTTACACTGCTTGGAAGATCCTTTGGTTCTAGTTTTCCGTGGTGAAAGTGGAGAACGAGGATCGCCACCATCTGGCATTGGTGGAGGACCACCAGGCCTAATTACCTGTGATGGTGGAGGAGGTAGAAAAGGATAGTCTTCGTTAGGTTGTGGTGGAGATCCATCAGGGTTGTTCACTCCTGATGGAATAAGGGGTTCAAAAAGATCGCCTCCATCTGGTAGTGGCGGAGGTCCTCCGGGGCTGATTACTCCTGATGGTGAAGGAGGTGGGAAAAGACCGTCTCCATCTGTTTGTGGTGGAGTGCCATCAGGGCTAGTTACATCTGATGGCGGAAGGGGTGCAAAAGGATCGCCTCCATCTGGTAGCGGCGGAGGTCCTCCAGGGCTGATTACTCCTGATGGTGGAGAAGAGGGACGGATTCTTCTAACATCATCATTTGGAATTCTCGGTCCCCACTCAACGCTAACTGAATCGCCTTGAGTGGAACCGAACAGATCAGGTTTGAAACGAATTAGTGCGTACTGTAGAACATCGTAAGCCTGAAAGGAGCTTCTAGTTGTTCCTGAAATAAAGATGGGGTGGGCAGATCGTTACCACGGGGAACTGATCACTCAAGTTCCTCAGAGCTCCTCTTTGTTCCGCAGGTGTTTGTTCGTCGTTTTCCATTACTGAGTAGTACTGCTCCACAACCGTGTCCCACTCATCAGTGAAATTAGTGACGTTCTCCTTCAGCTGCCTTTGGGTGTTCATCATTATAGAATCGTATTCTTGAACTTTTGTCTGCAAATTCAACTCATAATAGGGGCAAGGGACCTCTCGAGCGGTTCAGTCCATGAATCTGAAGAATGTTTTTGAAAAATCATTGTAAATCCTACCTCAATTCCATACTTTTGTGCCCATGTGAGAATTTCTTCCTTCTGTGCTGCGACGGTTTCATTTTGCTTTGAAACAATGGTAAGGTACTCGTTACGAGCTTGTTTGGTGAGATTTCTCAGGAATGGTGGTGGAGATGATGGACGTCTAACACCCAGATTACATGGAGAGTTCTTACCGGTCAGTTGGCCTAGTACCACGATGCCACTAGCCAATATAACGATGGCTATATTCATTCTGAAATTATTTAGCGAATAATAAAACAAAAAAGCCACCGGAAAAGCTGCCCAGGTAGGACCCTTTGGAAAGATCCGTTGTGTGATGTACCTTTCACGGCAGGGCTTTTATTCACTATTTTTGAGTCAACTTTGAAAAAAATCCGCCCTCTGTGACACTGACTGACCTGGATGTTTTTGTTGTTTCACTCTGGCGATTTCCAATAACACACAGTGGCCGATATCAAAAACACAGACCATAGAGTTACCCGTAAGTGAACTATGACCTTCCCGAAAGCACTCCTTAAATAATAGGGTCAGTTGGGAGAAGTTCAAAATCTCAGCAGCATGCTTGATAAGGTCGAGGGCCAGATGGTACCGCTCATTCTCATCCCCTGTCAGACAAAATTTTGTCCCTCTTCTGGATGGGAATGAAGTGAGAGAGAATATTTTAGAGCTGGAGATTCTTATCGTCCTCTTTCCGTTCGAGAGCACCTATGAATAACGATCAGGCTTGAAGAGTGGCTAGTGAGAACGCATCTGACCAAGAAGGACGGGATTGTATTTGCTTAGTAAGTTTTATTTTGGTATTTGTGGGTTGAGCACCATATGTATCTTGCCACATCTAACTCGGAAGTGTTAGAGAGGGAGAGGTACTCCTGAGGGGGAAACCTAGCAAATTCTTCTCAGTGACAAAGAGCATTTCACGTGTCATCGCTACGTCGCTTTCAGTAAGAGAAAATTTCTTGGCCGAAGTGCATATACCTACAAAAATCGCTATCCCCAAGCTTGACCGACCCAGGCCCATTTTAGGTGGTTTCGAGACGAGAACAAACTAAGAAACAATTTCTCTTTGACTAAAATTTGTAGAGATCCTTTCTCTTCCAACTTCTTGCTCCTTCTTTTGAAGCCCTA